ACTTCGAATTCCAGAAAAAGACTGTCCTTTTGCCCTCACGGCCTCGCAGGTTATCCAGCCCAACGTTCCGAGTGAACTCCAGCAGATTGTTACCAACTCAAACACCCCTCCTGTCGGTAGCTGGTATATCTTTATCAAAAACTCAACTCATAATCATGGACCAATCAATCCTAATGTGAGTCTACTTATACCCTACTCACCACAATTCCCATAACTGATCGAGATATCATTTCTGCCTTCAACTGTCTATAAGCCACCAATTACACAAGCGCAAGTGGCGAGAGCTTAACTACTAGCAGGAATCGATCCAACCTAGTTAGTCTCAGCACCACACCCTAACCCCCCGTCTCCTCTTCCAGCTGATTTTACACCCAATCCATTAGATATCGAACAAGCTGTCTCAGCTTTCGGATGTTGATCGGTCGCAAGCCCTTGTCGAGATTCATCAAGTTCTTGATAAGTACCGTATTCCCCCCCTCATCCAGTCATCGCAGGACACCTCGGAGAAACTCAATCTACCCCCTCGACCCAAAGGATCTCAAGGTCCACAAAAGATCCCAATTACTGGAACAGAAACCAAAGAAGTGAGACATCTTTCCATCTTTAAATATCGTATCACATCTTCTACACTCATTAATATTATTTTAATGTGACAGAACGAAAACGTGGTTCTCGAACAAGTTCCTCTCAAGAAAAAGCAGCAAAAGATCAAAACCAAAGATGCAACACTGCCAGTTCACGACTTGGATCACTTTCCACAGATTCCATTGTCCCAACACTTCAAAGGAACCGACACTACACTGCCTAAGCCTCCTCCGGTTACTAACTTCGAATATCACAGTACAGTTACCACGACCCTTCCAGTCGTGTGTAGCAGAATCGGTTGAAATGTGACGAAGAGGGGTACGAGGTCGATTGAGGATGTGTGACACAACAGAAACAAAGTTGGGCTGGTGTGCCAATCTTTTGAGGGGGTGAGTTGATTTCCTAAGGTGGTATGGCTTGTTTAAAGATGGTAGGGTAGGGGGTCGTTTTGAGCCTAGACAGGCCAGGCAATCTTCAGGTGGTGGGTTGTTGTGTTGAGGGGGTTGGTCGACTTCCTAGGGTGGTATACCATGGTGAAGGGTGGTATGATGGTGGGTTGGATCGAGCTACACCGGCAGGTCTCTCTTGAGGTGGTGTGTAGTGTGTTGAGGGGGTGGGTCAATTTCCTGGGGTGGTGTGTGTTGTTGAAGGGTGGTATGGTATGTTTCTCTAGTCGACCACGCCAAGTGAGCCTCCCCTAAGGAAAAGTTTGACTTAGCCATTTTGAGATTACCTGAGAAGCTTCTCAGGATGATCTATCATCTTGGCAGGGGAACCCGAACCCCATTGGGTCATACAATACTCTGTATGACCCAATACAATAGGGTATGGATGTGCACGTGCAGGTGCTTTGACCTTGAAGTGTAAGTATTGTCAAAAAGAGGTGCACATCAGTGGAAGCTCAAAATCTAATCTCTGTGTTCATCAAGACGGATCAAGCCAGGCTGGCAAGAACAGCTTGGGCTGTCCACGCCGCAATCAAGCGATCAGAACTGGTGCGAAGATACCTCCGACTCAAGCTGAAATCAAGGCAAGCAAGATTTGGAGTCAACATGCAGCGTCAATGGACAACTTTCTTCTGCCGGTTCCCAAATTTGATAATCTGGTGGTGAACCAGATGATCAGTTTATGGCAGGTCACAAGTAGTCTCCCTTGGACTATAATTGAGCACCCAATGCTACGTACAATTCTCATGTATCTTCAACCCGGCATCCAAGTGTACAAGCGTAAATGGTCTGCTGAGGAGGCCAAGCGACTTTACGTTGGACTTTGCAAATCCGTGGTCAAAGAACTCAGAGTAAGTTTTCATCAATTTCATGGTCATCTGTTTTTAAGAAGATATGCTTACA